ACCTGCAGTGCCAAAGATAAACATTACTGTCCACCTTCTTCTTGTGGAAATAATTCGAATATTAGCTACCCTTTCAGATTAAACACAGATCCGCCATATTACTGTGGAATGACTGCAGATCCAGTATATAATCTATCCTGTGAGAACAACCTTACAGTATTGTACTCTGATCAATCAAGAAAATTCTACGTGAAAGCAATCAATTATGACAATCAAACAATTCGAGTTGCTGATGCTAGTTTTGAAGAAGGGAGCTGCTCCATACCTCAATATTCTTGGAACGCCTCTAACTTCTCAACGTTTTCACAAGATTATTCTTATTATTATTATTATTATTATTATTATTATGCCTATGATGTTTATTTTTGGGAGGATGTTCTTTTCATAAGTTGTGGAAATCTTGTAAGTGATCCTCTTTATGTGGAAGCTCCTGCCTGCATCAATGACAGCTCTTTCTCCACACCTTATAGGCCTAAATCTGAAGGCAAAAGGTATTATTATGTGAAAATTGGAAGGCCAACTCCACTTGAGTTAAAACCATCATGCCGTATTGAGCTAATGGCACTTACACCTTTCATACGGAAGAAGAATTACGAGAACCTCTCCTACCTGGACATCCACCATTGGTTAGCGTATGGAATTGAGTTGTCGTGGAGAGAAGCTTCGTGTGGAAAGAGGCATTTTTACCGCATTAATGACGCAAACCACTGTGTTTCTTATTTTGGTGCTGCATATCTGGGTACTTTAGAAACAAATTCTATTGATTTGAGTTCTAATTGTGCATATGCCTTTTCATTTCTTGGTAGTTGCAAAAGGTTTTGGCTAATTTTGTTTACTTCATGCAGACAACCCAGTTTACAAGGTTGTCAGGACAGCTGTATATCGGCTGGCTGATTATTTACCTGGTAAGTACCTCTAATCCACGTCTTGTTCAAATATATTATACATACGAAGGAAGAATAAAAACTTGAGTAATACAAGGAGGGTAGACTTAACTCTGTTCTCTTCCTTTTCTCTTTCTTCTCTTCTTTTGTTCCTTTAAAAATGAGATTGATTTTGTGATAATTTTATAAATATTTTGATTTTTAAAGGTATTTTGATAGATAAATAATTGGTGTAATTTTTGTTAAATTTTTATTTATTTTGTAATTACATTTTTCTTAATTTATATCTTTTTTTTATTTGAATGGAAATTTTTTTTTATCTTTATTCTATTTGAGGCTATTTTTGTAGTAATTTTTTTTACTTTATATAT